AATAAATATTTTAAAGTTAGACAGAAATTACCTTTAGGTCATTTCTACCAGCGTATATAAACAAATGGCCTAAAAGTACCCGAAAAACTTCTTCCGAAAGTCGTCGACTGGAATTTTTCACACAAAATAATAATAATTCGAACGTGTTTTATTATTATTAACCAAACACATTACGTTTACTAAATAAAATAAAATTATAAACCCACAATTCTTTCATGAATTACCCATTAGCAATGGCACGTTGTAGTTTGTTAATTTGAATTAAGGGGCCCCACGTACAGGTACATTGTAGACATTTCTTTGGAGGAGATATTTCCTTAAAGATTGGTTTGGAGTACCAAAACAACTGTTTTTACCCATAAATTAAGGCCCCAATGCCTATTATTATTATTATTGTCACGCTGCATTGAATACAATACAGCGTGAGAATAATCATTCCACATCCGTTGCATCCGACCATCACACCAACGTACTTAATTAACATTCTTCGACGTAGAATATGGGCAGAAGAGACGTAAGAGACGACTTAACCGTTAAAAAATAATGTTAATAATTATTATATATAAGACTTTAATGTACCTGGTTGAACTCCTGTTCCAAATCGTCCGCATATAAATCAATATCAACTCCGTCCGCCATTTTACAAAGGACGAAATTCTTGCTGGTTCTCCTCGTAATCGGACCGCAACTTTGAATATAATTACTAGAACGATACATTAATAAATCTACTATAATCGTCTAATTTGATCTAAACTTGGCGTATAATCGCCTTTATTCTCTTTCAGTCAAAACACTTACTTTGTTTAGGCAGACGAGGCCCCGACAATCAATTGCCCGCTTACGTTTCTTCTTAAGTGTTGCCAGATCAGCTGGCTATAAAAAATAAATAAATAAAAATAATAATAATAATACTATGGCGGCACTGTCGATATTTTCGTAATTTTATAACGTTGTATTTTCGGAATATCATTTTACTGAAGATCGAATTGATGACATTTGTTATTATTACAAGGGACTTCCTTTTGTCTCGTAAAATAATTTATTTCTTTGTTTATGTAAAATGATAAAGGCCGGATTGCAATCTACCGCTGTGGGGGATCCGGGATCGAATCCAGACGAGTCGAAGAATCTCCAGGAATTTTTCGGGATGGTCTGTCCGGATATCTCGGGCACCGTCCATCACCACCCGGCCGCTTCATTGTAGGCCTGCTAAAAGAGACCCTTTTAGTGCCCAAAGGGCGAAAAGAGTTTAAAAAAAAAATTATAAATGATTCGTCAACATTTGTTTTTTCGAGCGGCGCTCGACGTTCTACGTTCACGTTTTAGAGATAAAAACTTCAGCCGCAACCTCGCTGTTGTCCGATTGCTGAAAAAACGTTGACGGATTAAACAAACATCGCTAAACCCGATATATAACATAACTAAACACCAACGATATGCCGAAAATCTACCGGCTAGTATTAGGCTAATTACTAAATGAATTACGTAATCAATTTGGCACTAGAGGTAGGCGTTAGGCGCCATCTCTTATTAATATTAATAATTATAAATAAATTACTTAATTTAAATAATTTATTAAGAGATGGTGCCTAACGCCTACCTCTAGTGCCAAATTGGTTACGTAATTCATTTAGTAATTAGCCCCGTAGATTTTCGGCATACGATTGGTGTTTAGTCAATAAATTATATTTCGGAAGTTAATCTAGTATCAAAAATGTTCTGATTCAGCATGACACACGTCGAGAGGGTAATTAAGGACATGCCAGTATTTGAATGAGGCTTTTTTTTCCCCATCACGAGTGGTGTGTTTTGCTTTAGCTCATCAGAGAATATAGCCCAAGTGGCTGACATCTCCAGATAAACCCAAAAAAAAGAGTTTTGCTGATTTTGTGTGGTGTTTTTCTGAGGACTGTGTCGGGACATGTGTCATGCTGAATCGAAACATTTTTGATACTAGATTAACTTCCAAAATATAATTTATTTTTCAATATAAGAAATAATTTTTAACGATACAATAACCACGATTATTATTTTTAAAAATTTTCATTAGGTTTAACATTGACAAAAATTCAACATGAAGGGATAGATTAATATATTTTTTTATACGTGATCAGTTATCCGAACAACCCCAGTCCCAAATTGTTACGGATAATCGATGCTCTACTGTACAGCCACTTGCAGTGCCAGTATCGCCACAATATTCTTTTTGCAGCATAAAACATTGAGTTTAGAATTTAATTTTTCAATAAAACATATTTAGAATTTACAACATTATGGCATTGTTTGTGTCATTTATCCATAAAATTCATAGATATTCATGTTTTAGTGTTTGTTATTCTTAAATAGAATGAAGTATAGCATTCTGATACATATGTAAGAATTAATAGGAGTGTTAATTCACTAGAAATTAAAAAAAACAAAAAACTTATTATAGTCTAAATATTAGATAATGTATAGTAATTTGGACAGTTGCCTCTCCTCTCCTCTCCCTCTTGAAATACTGTTATAATTAACTTATAGAAGATTAATTGGAATGCTATATTTCAAATAAATGTTTCTTTGTCTGAAAGCAGGATAAATATCTGAAGCTGCAAATTTAAAGAAAATGCTCAAAATCTGGAAAAAAACTTAAAACATTATGCTTATTAATTTGCATACATTAATTTTTATATGAGTTTCAAAACTGTTCATCAGAAATTTAAAAACTAAATTTATTCTTATTGTATACATCTTTGGGGTGATATTCTTTAATGGTGGCAGATAATCTTTGGCATCCTTCATTGACTGACTTGATCTGATCATTCATTATCTTTTCAGAAAGACCTTTACATTGTTTAACCTGTCCTACGTTGATCCCAAAAATATTCAGGATCAACGTTGACCTCATTGACCTGCGTTGGAGATCCCAAATATTTCCGTGTTTACATTGGAACAATTTTTATATTAAAACGAACTTTTCAAATAAAATTTTTTTTGTTTTTATATTATTCAATATGTATATATTTTGTTTGTGAAACATAAAAAAATAATACAAAAATAATCCCTCATCAAACCTTTAACCAGTATTAAATAAGAGTAATATACACAACAAGGTTAAACGCTTCTCTAACTCTAAACTGGCCGCAGCACTTGGAATGCGGGATATCGTCATGGACGCCTCGGATATGCCCAAGCTTTTTGCTTTTGCTAAGATGCATAAGCAGGGCCACAAATTGAGACTGGTGGTTGATAAGGCCACAGCCCCCACGCGCAAATTAGAAGTGTTCTTGCACGATTTCATCTCTCCGAAGTTACAAGATCACTGATACTCCATCTCCAATCCGGCGGAATTAATAGTATTCCTCAAAAACACCGAAAAGCCCGCGTACATCTCGGTCATGGATTTTCGTTCTTTATATCCATCAATTGAATTACCACCCTGTTTTTGCGCACTCCGAGATTTTCTATTACAAAACATCTATGATCAGGAATTACACCAGCAGATTCTTGAAGTAGCACATTTGATTTGCTACAGCTCAATTTTTCAATTTGGAGGAACCACGTATGTGCAGGGCAGAGGCGTATCTATGGGAACTGTGGTCTCAGGCGACCTATGTGAACTGGTAATTAGACAGCTGGAAAATAAAATAATTCCAAGATTCAGCCACAACATCATATTGTACAAGCGATACATAGACGATGACATTATTTTATGGAGGCACGACCCTAACATCACCCTCTTTGTGAATCAGATGAACAACAATCCGTATGGTCTTACCACAGAGCTTGAGCAACATAATGATTCTGAGGTACATTTTCTTGACTTGGACATTGCATTTGGAGGAGACACCATATACACATCTGTCTACCGCAAAACTTGCCACTTTCCAATGTATATCCCAGCGAACTCCTGTGATCCGTTCAGATATAAAATGCTGGCGTTTAGAGCACTGGTTAAGAGGGCCCACACCCATTGCTCAACACAGGATACTTTAGTTCAAGAATTGAACTAGCTACATAACATTGCTGGTCAACATGGATTCAACACCATGGTCCATAAATTAGCACAACAATTCAGCATCGGCCTCCCACCTACTCCTCCACAGAATGGGGACAATGTGGAACAAGACCACCGCATCGTTCCAGTCACATACAACCCGTTCCTAACATTCCTGTATCAAAAAATAGCTAAAAACAAGGATTACGCTTATCATACAGAAGATGCCCATCTATGTTTAAGCTTCTGCGCAATGAAAAAGATAAACCTAACAAGTATAAGCTACCAGGGGTATACGCTGTCCCCCTCACGGACCATAGATTTCAGAGGGAACTGGTCTACATTGGCGCTATTAAACGTGCTATTGGTGTTCGGTGGACTGAACACTGACGGGACATCCTCCACAAAAGGGGTTCTACGTCGTTATCCCTGTATGCGTCAGACCCGGAGATTTCGGCAAACTTCAACAATGCCAAACTCCTCATTACTACACCGTTTACGGACCACCTCAAGTGGTTGGAACAAATGGAAATTTGCAAAGCATACAACACTTCAGCACCTATTAACTCAAGGGATGAAATTACCCTGTCCCTAGCATGGCAGGCCCTACTCCAGGAGGAGGATTCACATTAATAAATACGTATAGTAAATAGGGTATTAAAACATCATACCCGCTGATATGCTCTTTATTTTTTTATTTATTTTTTCGTTAATGTAAAAATCCATAAAAACCTTTTTAAGAAAATCCGAACATTACATTAGGAATTTGTTTACGGAATACTGGAATGCACGTGATTCACATTGATTTTTTGACTTTTGAAATGTGGTTCTGAAGAATAGTTTTTCAAATGTCGCAGTTTAGAAGAAGTTTGTTCTACTGGTCTTCGTTCTAACGAATTTTAAAGAAGAATCGTTGCTTGAGAAAGGACCCAGGGAGGGATCCAAAAATGTTTGCACGTAATATCACTCTTATTTAATACCGGTTAAAGGTTTGATGACGGATTATTTTTGTATTTTATGCCAGCCAACCAGTGTAGTTGAAGTTTGTGATGATGACCATCTGTTCTCCAAACATGGAAGCTTGATGTTTGACTGCTGTAAATGTTACACAACCAAGCTTATTGTTGATCTGACCAATCCAAATAGATAAGCATATTGAACTGGGAAATGCATTGATGGTTTTGGCTTATTTGTTCAACAGAAATTGTAGCCTTCTTCTCCAACATCATTTTATCTGCAGCACAACCACTTTTATGACTGAAAGCAGACTGAGGTGGTTAAAATTAGTGAGGAACTGACTTGACAAATTTTTGAAAGGTTTTAATATTGGGCGATATCTTTAATTAGGTCTTTTAATCCAGTAATGTCTGAGAGTCTGGAAAGAGCTTCGGGAGCATTCTTTCATTATAAGCGACTGATAATTACCATCTTGTTAGCAACTTTAGTGATTTACATATAGGTCAAGCTTCATTTCCTGCACCTGTGGCAAATTATCAAAAGCAAAAGTTATATTAAATGCACATGTATGCGGGCTTTTAAATTGGCAGATGGTGGAGGACAGTTTGTAAGGAATTTCCTATCTCAAAAACATATGGACGATCCATTCATTTCTTATTTTTTGTATGTTTTCAGTCACTTTTTAGAAACATTTTCATTAATAAATATGAATTAAATATTCTTGTCTTCTACAGTTTAATAACTTTTTTATTTTTTAATATTTTACAGCCAGCCTGTAACATCTAAGACATTCAGAATGTATAGAGTCTTAGGGAAGGGAGGTTTTGGTGAAGTTTGTGCATGTCAAGTACGTGCAACTGGAAAAATGTATGCATGCAAAAAATTGGAGAAGAAAAGGATAAAAAAGCGTAAAGGAGAAGCCATGGTTTTAATAGAAAAACAGATTCTACAGAAAGTAAATTCTAGGTTTATTGTGAGTATAATATAAATTTTTAATTTCAGTTAAAAATGTAGAATTATTGTTGGAAATAATTGATGTATAACGAGAAATTTTTAAGACAGTTTTTTCTAACTTTAAGTGACTTTTATGTGTTGTTATTAAAAATTAAGCTTTAATTAATATAATTATAATACAAAATTTTACAATTAACAAAAATTAAGTTTAAGAAAATAGAAGGAAAAATAGAATGCTTCTGTCACAAATGTGGAAAGAACCTTAGACAGAAATCTTGTTAAATAGGACTGAACATTGAAAGAATTATTATTATTCCCATTTTATCTGTCATATTATTTTCTTGTAAGGTATGCAAATAGTATATTGTATATTAGAAAAAGAACAAGTTTTGAGAGATGACTACTACAGAACTTGCAGATGTCATAAAAATTATTAATGATTATGTTACTATAGATAATGAGTTATGTACAGTGGGTAATCGGTTAACAAACATAATCCGTTCCAAGACTTTGTTCGCTATCCGAATTGTTCGTTAACTGATTATCGATTTACCATAGGTTTTGATGGGAATTTAATTAATTCGTTCTGGAGACCCTCAACAAAAATAAAAAATATATACTTTCTTACTACATTTATTTATATGTAATAATAAAAATACATACGTACACAGTCTTGCGTTTTTATTAGTCATGTTTTTTCCGTTTGAAAGGAGTAAAGAATCTGTCTAATGTCGATTGCTTTTCTCTCTTCTTCAGGATTTTTCGTAAGTAATTAATAGCATTGCAATTGTAGAAATCCCCAAGCCTCAACCTGGTTTGGATGCCATTCTAAGACCGTTGTTCTGACATCCTCCCACTTCTTCAAAGGATCTTTAATAACAGATATCGGCATTAATCCTCTTTTTCAGAAGAAAACATATCTCGCCGATTTTCTTGATGTTCTTCATTCAAGAGTTCTTGGCGTTCTTCTGTCGTCAGATCCGTTTCAGGTTCCATTATGAACTCTTTGATGTTCTTTATTTCTCAGATGTGGTTTTTGTTACTCCTTTAGTTGCTTGAGTCTTCTTGATTATACAGTATTTTTCTTAAAAAAAAATGAACTACAGCCTACTATAGACCTGTTCACACCATACTCCCCAGCAACATTAGGCATCTTCTGCCCACTCTACCTTTACTATTATACTCTCACCTTACAAATAAAACAGATGCAAAACTTAATGAGTGCCTACCCAACAGTCTCGCAAATACATAAAAGAATTATTTTGTCATAAAAATAAAAGGCTGGAATTATAAAGGAGAGTTTTAAAGTTCGGAGGAATACTATCTGATCAGTATATACTGGCTTGAGCCTCAATGTCGACGTCTCCCACACTCTGAAAAGTTTCGAATTGTTGCCTGAAGACAAGGAAAGTCTAATCAGTATTCATTATTTTTCGTCGCTTCTTCTTGTGTTTTTGTGGGGTGTTCTAAAATCTTTCGTGAAAGTGTTCGTTATCCGATTTGTTTGTTGTTCGATAACCCAATGTATAGAAGAGACAAGTAAAGATATTCATCCCCATATTTCACTTTCTCACTTAGAAGATACCCTTATTGAGATAGAACAACAACAAGTTCAAAATCTTGACTAAAAACAAAGCAAAGTCAAAAATTACAATGATACCATAAAATGTACTGAGAAAATTCAGAACTTTCTTTTGAATATAGGGGACACTGATGGACTTACTTTCATTGATAAATTAAAATTTAATGTTGAAAAACAAGCTTGTAAAGGAAAAAATATGAAGAAACTCTTTTGTCTGATTATTTTATATAAATTTACTTTCTTTGTTTCAGTGGTGCACCCAAGAAGGGGTGAAGGATCCCTGGTCCCCTTGAAAGAAAAACAAACTGTAGAAAATTTTCCAAAAATTCAATTTCTTATTATATATATCTTGTGATTTTAGGCCTCTTATTGCTCTGAGAGCACAAAGAGGCCAACTTATTTATATTGTGTGTCATCATCTATTTCTATTCGAATTATGAATTAGCAGTCACATAAGGTGAGAATTTTATTGAATTTGCATAAAAATGTGGATAGCTTTTATTGAAAATTGCTTTGATAATTGGGCATTCGAAAGATTCAATTAAAACAAGATTTTTACAACTGAAAAGATTAAAATAAGTATACAGTATATATTATATACTGTATACTTATTTTAATCTTTTCAGTTGTATATAAGTAGCATATATATTATATATGCTACTTACACCTTTTGGTATTTTCATGTTTGTAATGCAAATCCATTCTTCACTATATAATGACCAGGTTAAAGTACAGTATGGTTGCCAGCATGTACAGCACCTCTAAACAGTGGACAAACTTCTTGGACAACTATGCATTGTAAAATAAAAAGTTGAAAATTATCTGCTGTTCTGCAATTTTTATTTTGATTTATTGGTGTGATATGTCAAAGTCTGGAATCAATGCTCTGTGTGAAAACAAAATTAATATATTTCCAAGAAAATTTACTATGTTTATTATTGTATTCATAATCTGTGATGGTGCATATTCTGTAGAAAATTAATAAATCAAAAATAAAACTTTTACATAACGTGCTGCATAAATATGAGTTTGTAATTGCTTTTAAATTATCCTCCTACATAACACATCTTCTTTCAAATTATCTATAAATACAAATAATCCTTTGCTAATCTGTGGGAGAATATGTTCTTATGTTGATAAGATGCAGAATTGGAAGAATAAAGCTCAGATATGGCTGATATAGCAATGTAAGACAAACTTGATACTAGAATACTTGCTCATTCAAATTTAAAATTAAAGAATGAATTAATATCAGTAATGTTTACAAAATATATAATGTATACAATTACATTTATTGTATCTATTTAATTTTATCATATATATCTGTTAAACAGTATAGTTATAAAATGAATGTGTATAGTACTGTAATTTGTATGTAGTGTTACTATTTCTTCATAACAGGTAAATTCTGCTTATGCATATGAAACCAAAGATGCACTTTGTTTGGTGTTGACCATCATGAATGGAGGTGATCTCAAATTCCATATCTATAGTATGGGTGGAGAGCCTGGATTCGATCTTGGAAGAGCAAAATTTTATGCTGCAGAAGTCACTCAAGGTTTAGAACATCTTCATGCTCAAGGAATAGTATATAGGTAATTATAATTATTTTTTAATTACTACTAAATTGATGTTTTTTGATATTTTAACATTTGAAATTATTAAAACTGTAAGTATCATTAATGTCAATCTTTCCAACAAGTCAAGTAATAAATACACACAAATACAAATGTGCATGCACACACACACATATATATATACACACGCACACATACATACATACATACATAGAGTACATAGAGCGTTGGTTAACCGAAAGTGTTCCAGTCAGCAAATTTAAATTTCCGCTAGTGCTGTGGTGTGTCTTGGCCTACTCCATTATTTTTTTTTTGTTGTTGGTGTGTGCGCTTTAGCTGGCAGCACTGGCACTTTTGTGTAGTGTTTTTCTGAGGAGTGTGTGTCGTGCTGAATCGAACATTTTTGATACTAGATTAACTTCTAAAGTATTTGTTTTTTTGTTTTTATATTTTTCAATATATTTATTTCGTTTGTATAAAATAAAGAAATAATTTTTAACGATACAATAGCCACTATTATTATTTTAAAAATTTTCGAAAATTCAACACAAAGCAACACGCAACAGAGAAAAATTTCAACATGGGATAGGTTAATATATTTTTTCGTACATAATTGGTTATCTGAAAAATAAGTTATCTGAACAATTCCAGTCTCCAATTGATTCGGATAAACAACACTCTACTGTACTACATACATACATGGGAAAGAAAAGGCTGTACTCAAAGGTGTATCCTTAAAAGATAAGAAAGATGGGTGAAGGAAGGAAGGAGAGTGATATGAAGAAAAGTTAGGAGGGTGGGATGGTTGGAGGTTTGAAAGTGGAAAAAGGAAGACATGAGCCGCAAAGGGGAGCTGTTGGATAGCACATCTACTATACTACAGGGTGTTTATAAATAAATGGTGAGGTTTTAAAAATTAATGATAAATCTATTTATTACCTTATATGGTCAAACCTTACAGCATAAGCAGCAACAACTGACCAAGTTTTTTATGCGCTACCCAATCTTCTCTTGTCATGCTTAATCGTGTTCTTCACCAATGCTGGATTGGACGTGTTGCAACACAACAACCTGCTCCCTTGGCCACCCCGTTTGCTAGATTTAACACCCTGTGATTTCTTTTTGTGGGGGTTGGTTAAAGACAGTTTATGTACAGTACCATCAGTGCTCGCATCCCTTGAACTGTGTGATCGGATAAAGCATGCACTGCAGACCATTACGGAGCACATGCCTACACCATGTGTGGGAAGAATTTTATTACCGTGTAGATGTGTGTGGTGAGACCATGGGTCCACATATTGAAGGATTGTGATTAATGCATAAAAAACTTGGACAGTTGCCACTGCTTATTCTGTAAGGTTTGCCATTATAAGGTAATAAATAGATTTATCATTAATTTTTAAAACCACACCATTCATTTATAAACACCCTGTATATGTGCATGATATGATGATATGTGCATGAAATTTGGAACCAATGGGAAAAATGAGCAAGAATATAACAACACTAATGACAATACCTCTACAAAACATGTTTACCACAGCTACACATTGCTACAGATGTATGACCATGTTCTCCTGAATTCTGAAATTTCTACATTCAAATTGCAGTGATACACTCCTGACAATGACAGATTTCTGATTTTCACTACATAAATACTCAAATGGTGGGAATTTGTAACTTGTACAGGTGGGACTTCTGTTTCACAATATTCCTACACCTTCACCATTGCTCGATCTGTAATGAGAAAAAAAAATCCTGTTGGTTTCATTTTTATGCATATACTATATATAAATCTTTATTTTGCCATATTTCAAGTATAAACATAAAATTATAATTCAGCTAATGTAAATTCATAAAAACCTGTTTCATTTATTTATATATAAGAATGATTTGCAATTCTGTACAAATTTCAAAAGTATTATCATATAAAGCTTTAAACATCACATTGTTGATATAAAATCAGTTTCGAAGGACCTTTTTACAACTTTGCTACCTTAAGTAGAAGAATTATTATGGGTAACAAAGTTATCTTACTTCTTTGAAAGATATTTATGTATGTTATCTAAAGGTATGTTTATTTTTACAAATTCAAACAGAATTAAGCACTTTTTTCTCATTGAAAATTCAAAATAATGTAGATATTCAACTTGTTTACATCAATTTGAAAATTCAAACATAAAACTTAAAGAATAAGAAGGAAGAAACTGCTTTAAAAAATATGATTTCTTCAAGCTTACAAAACTTAAAATTTAATTAATAAGTATTCAGTCAAAATAGTTATATACTATTATTTAAACTTTATTTTATTTTAGGGATTTAAAACCAGAAAATATCTTGTTAGATGATCATGGTAAGTTGGATATTTTCAATTTATAAATTTTCACAAATTTTTTTTCTGTAATATTTATAATTTTTTTTTTTTTGAAAGGTCATGTGAGAATATCTGATTTGGGTCTTGCTGTTGAAATTCCCGATGGGGAAACTGTTAGAGGAAGAGTTGGCACTGTGGGATACATGGGTAAAGGATTCATTTTGTTAAAAAATTTTTTTTTATCTAATTTGAGTAATAAAATAAATGATTTTTTTTATTTATTGTAGCACCTGAAGTGATTGATAATGAAAAATATACTTTTAGTCCAGATTGGTTTAGTTTAGGATGTTTAATTTATGAAATGATTGAAGGACAGGTATCTTTCTTTAATACATCTTATAGCCAAATGTGATGATGATAATTAATTTTGGAGTTTTTAAAAATACATTCTTTAGGCTCCGTTTAGAGCCAGAAAAGAAAAAGTTAAGAGGGAAGAAGTAGAAAGGAGAGTAAAAGAAGATCAAGAAAAATATTCTTTGAAATTTAGTGATGATGCCAAAGCTATATGTCAGGCAGTATGTATTTTTTCTGTTTCAGTCATCTAATATAAACAGCAGTTTTTGTCAGAATATATATAATAGAAATAGAAAGAAGTTTGTATAATTGGTGATTTAAAAAAAGAGCATCTAAATTACACTTCTTTTTCTTATTCTCTGTCTGGCAGCATTGTAATGTAATACTAATAGTACATATGCTGTAGTGTACTATTGGATAAAATAGTATGTCAGATAACTTAAGCTGCAGTCAGATGGATACTTCTACATTACATAAAGGTCGAAATTCTCCATTCTCTTACATCGCATGCAAGTATTCATGTGGACACATTAAGTTTTATGGTAAGCCAATCAAGCATCAGCATTTTTATAATTCTTTTCACTAGGATTGTATAAAATGGAATATTTTTCTACTTCAATAATTAGGTTTTTATCCTATCTTTCTAATTCCCACGACAAGTGATGGGACAATTTTGACTGGCTGAATATAAGATTCCTTCCATTGAAATGGCTTTTGGCTCAGCTCCAACACAATGACATCGTTGCCTGAAAAAGGCTTCTTGGCATATACCAACATCACTTTAAATGTGTCTGTCTGAATGCAGCTTGAGACTTTTTATATATACTATATACTATAATATTTCAATAAATAAAGACAGTTATTTCCAAAAATTTTTGTTAAGCGACCAGACCTAAGTTTTAAGTTTATCCTGGAAAATTTTACCGGAAATAAAAGGTGATCAACCATTTTTTTTAGACTACACAGTCACCCATAAAACAGTTCCTTTAAATTGGATTATTTCTGTGTTTTAACATTAAAATTTGTAAAGAAATTTGGAATTGGTCACCTTTCAACGTCTTTGGGTTTTCATCCTTCTTCCGTTTGGGAGTTTCGGATCCTTATATTTACTCAAGAATTGCGCTGTTAAATGTAAATTGTCCTTATTCTCTCTCTAGCAGCAAATAATTACAAAATTTTTTTATTTTTAAATATATACTATAATATTTGTAAAACAGATTAATTTATAAATGTCTCAGAAACTAGGTATTAGGTATTATTATAGAAACACAAAATAGAAACCAAAATTTGAACAGAAAATGTAACTTGAATGAAAAAAAAAGTTTGTTTCTTTTTGATCTTAACATCAGTATTTCAGAAGGATATATATTCACCTTGATATACAAGAAACCTTCCTACCATTCCTGCATTATTGTACAATTCCTTCTATAAAGTGATGGCATTTAGACTCCTCAAAAGAAGAGCTTCACCCACATATCCAACCATGAAGACATGGCTCAATAGCTAAATTACATCAACAGTGCAGCACAATGTGGCTACCATCCTAGAATCATCAAGAGTCTTATCAACTCTTACTCTTCTCAGGCCACATACAACAGTAGGGAAGATATGCCATATAATTCAATGATAAACAATCAACCTTTGACATAAGACTTCTCTGGAAATTGCAAAACCCAATAACATTACCATTAGATGAAACTCTGCCATGTTGATGAATTCAAAAGACTGTCTCAGAGACCCTTTTCCTCCCAGGTGTTTACTCCATTTCAATCATCACATTGCTCTAGGACAGCAAATGGAATACATTGGAACTACAACATGTCCATTCAAGGTTTAAAAGAACATATAACCTTGAAAAAATGGGCACAACACTACCATTATAGCTAACCTGGTCACAGAACAATCATACATAGACAGAACCTGATTTTTTTACACTCAACCTGACAGCAAATTCCTTGAGAAGCCAGAGATTTATAGGACTTATAATATGGCCATAAACTATGGTACAAGAATAGTAACATCCCTTCTCAAGCCTGGAGATCTGTCTTTGAGGTCCAGTAATAATTTCTATCATTGGCACAATAATGTCATTATCCAATCAGATAAAATATATATATCTTTTTTAAAGGAAGTAAAATTTGATTATACCTTGTAGGTTATGAGATCAAAAATATACAGTCGACCCCCCCTATAATTACGGTCCTTATAATTACGATTCCTATAAAACTACAAAAAATATACGTATTTTGGAAATGTTGAGTCGGATTAGTGTAGAATCGATTAATTTTATGGAAGAAAACCTTTCAATCAGCCGTAGCCCGTAAACTTGACACGTGTCGGGCTGTGATTGGAACGACTTGTAAGAAATCGGATTCCTAATAAATTGGAACGTATCTATATCTTATAGGGGGGTCAACTGTATGCTTTTATTAGTATTGTAAATGCATTTCAGACTTATAGTCCCTCAGCAAGCATAGAAGACTATAAACAGTATTTGATAAAAAGAATGCAAAGAAATCAAACTCTGGTATCATCATCAGGTTACATAAGTAAAGCTATCAAAAACATTTGTTTTCTTTTCTCATTAAAGCTTTGTTTTCTGCTGTAGTTTTGGTTTCTATTGTTTTTACAGATTAATGTAATTAAATTAATCTGTTTCAAGTTATTAAAGAAGAAACCACATGAAAGATTAGGCTGCAATAGTGGAAGAAAGGGGGCACAAGAAGTGAAGTTACACCCATTTTTTAAAAGTGTAAATTGGAAAAGGTTAGCAGCTGGTATGCTTGATCCTCCTTTTATCCCTGATGTGAGTGAAAAATTTTTTGTATTTTTGTTTTTAGTAAGAAATTTATATTAGAAAGTGTCTTGTGTTTAATAAATATTAGAATGAGATTTCAATTTTTAGCCCCATGCAGTTTATGCCAAAGATGTTCTTGATATAGAGCAGTTTTCAACTGTAAAAGGTGTAAATTTAGATGCAACGGATGACACTTTTTATACAAAATTTAATACGGGTAGTGTATCTATTTCCTGGCAAACTGAGGTAAGAATAGAAAATCATAAATACTAAAATAGGCAATTTTTCAATCCTATGTAAAATTTTATTTTATTGTACAGATGATTGAAACGGAATGCTTTAAAGAATTAAATGTATATGGTCCCAATAATACCCCATCTCCAGATCTGATTATAGATATGCCTCCTCCTGCTGAACCTTCTGGATGTTTTCCTTTTCGCAAAAAGAATAAAAACAGGTAAAATTTATTGAATTTATTAAATGAACGCAATGCTATTATTGTTGTTAATTATTTAAAATAATTGCGAATAATTCCATTGTTGGTTTCAGAAGAATGGCACCAGACATTAAAAGTTCAAACAGTAGCACCCATTTGTCTTCTTCGGATGAGCCAAATTCTTCGGGCATGACAAATCAAGCATTAAACACAATAACTGACAACCAGGAAGTTCTCGCAGTAAGCTGAGAGTTATTTTCACAAGCTACTACAGAAAGGCAATGCGACGATAAAGAATAGTGAATTCCCAACGTGTGCCAAGATTTCTAAAATAAAATTTGTGATGTTTGGCATACTTCCAAGATCTTCCCCTCATCTGAAAATTCTCTCCTTTATATCAGGTACAAAAGTGTTATAGAACTAGCCAACTAATTATTTTTTGTGAATATACATCAATTAAAATAAAAGTTAAAAAAATATGCTCAGAAATAAGTTCTGAAGATATCACAAATCATGAACTTAAGTTATCAGTTAATGTAAAGCATTTTCATTTACTTTTAACATATCCTCTTTTCTCGTTTTAATATTTTGCCGCGACTCATTAAATCATCAGGTTAAATGTTCTGAATATAGAAGAGTAATGGTGGATCTGTAGAATATTAATAGTAATTGAGATTGTGTGAGAATTTTGTCATTTTTACAAAGTGACATTCCATTTTTGGCAAATGTGATTATTTATAAAGAGAAAGGTGAAGCCATTCCTTCCTTTTTGCTGTGATTTTTGGCATTGGCTTTGATTGTGTTGATTTTGTTGTTTTTATCTTTTGAGTATACTTTACGATTTTTTTTACAATATGAAACACCATCAGAACGGCAAATTAACTTGTCTTTAGTGCCAATAGTTTGACTCGCCTTTATTACCTCTATATTGTTTTAATCATTAGTAATTATTGTATAAAAAAAAAAACATTTAAGCATTTATTTTGTATAAATTTGCAATAATTGACAACATTTTGTATACATAAGGAGCACTCTGCAGTGCTGTAAAATAATTTGAGATTTTTTTTTTTTGAAGTTTTAATTAATTTATGGAATGAGGACGATGATTTTTGTTTTCTTCTGTAAGGGTAAATACTCATGAAAATAATCAGGAGTATGGGAATAAGTGAACAAACTAATTTATTGTGTTTGCACAGATGTTTCAATTCGATGTGGTAACTTGAAACCAATTTTTAAAGATTTGTGATGTTTTTTCTGTATAGTCTGAACGATGACACAACTTTCATCTGTAAATGTTTGTCGAAACGACTATTTAAGATTGACGGCTCAGAAAACTAGTGCCATTTCGGATCAGTGTTAACATGTTATTTAATTAACATTTTCCTATTAGGTTAGAAATCTCTCGCGACTCTCGTCACAAATATCGTTTTAAGTTTAACTAATTAGACTCCAAATAAATCAAGGGCATTCCAACTTTTAAATTCTCATCTATGTACTTTTGAAAAAACCTAAAAACAACGTCATAACTCGTTTTTAGTTTTTCTTGTTTTTTTTTTTTTATTATTATTCAGTTAAATATACCAAAGGAATTGCTGTCATTTAAAATAATCTGTTTTGATTATTTTTTATTATAATTGCCTATAATATTTATTTCTTCAGGAAAATCAGTTTATGTTAAAAGCTTTTGTATTTTATCTTGTAATTTTGATTGTATTATTACAATAATTGGAATATAATTCATTCAATGTACATCCATACATGTGAAGTCTGTGGAAAAACATTCAACCAATAACAAAAAAAAAAAGTTGGTTTTACTGTACATTATTGCATATTTGTCATTTTAAGTGAACTGCAAAGTTCCCAGTAATTTTTAGAGGGAAAGAAAAAAAACTACTCTTGTTGGACTGTATGTAAATGATTATTTGCAAAACTGTATTACCATTTGAGATCATCAAGTGTAGCAATGATTAGAGCAATTACAATGTACATTTAAAGTTTTTTTAAAACATGTTTTCATTCATTTCTATGCACAAATCTTCGGCAAAAAATAATCTGAGATACATCAGTATTATAAGTAAATAAAAAATAATAATACTTTAACCGCATTGCCTGATTTCATATTTAAAAAGAAATATGAAAAAGCATTTTTGTGGAGGTACATCGAAGCACAGTTTTGGTGTCTTGTATTAAAATGCACATTTAAACAAACAGAAATTCATGATTAATTTTTGAAAATTTAATTCAATGTTTCATTGTATGCAAATAATGTATCTATATGTTTATTAATGACAGTTAGTTTATAATAAAGACATACATCGATATAACGAATTTCGTACGATAATACTTATCGCAGACCTTCATTTTATCATAAAAAATGATTATTATAAACTATAAATGGTGCTTGCAATAAGTTTCTTACAATATACATAATTCAATATTAAAAATATCCATATCATTAACCCTTGATATTTTATCTGAAAGGAATCAGTACAAATATGCAAATTATCATTTGGTATCAGCCAACAAGTGATGAAATATAAATAATGCCAATTTATATATGCTTCTGTCTTGTCCATCAGTTGTTCACTGAATGTTCAAAACTCCCCAGTATTAATGGAAAACTGCATTTTGCATTGTTGTATTTATGTGTATAAAATAAACTTGTTCATAAAATTCTGAACTGTTTTTTTTTTAATTCATTTTAGATCAAACACAATAATATAATGTAATATGTAATATAATCATCATTGCAGACAAGAAGTTAACCATATAAAGGATCTCGCACCATAAGATGAAGGAAAAAATAAACCAGCAACGAGTTGCTCAACTTTCCCAGCAACGTTAACTCCTTACCTTCTCGACCTTTAATCAACAAAATTTAATAGCGTCGATCCCTCTAATAAACAAACCTCCCTGCAAAATTTCTGGAGTCATTAAGCTTCAAAGAAGGTGAATAAAATCGTGCCCCCCAACACACACTAACATCCATACAGAAATTACCCCTAAATTTTAACAGATAATTAACTGATGAAAGAAACCACACACAATACTACAAAGAAAATGGTGCCCTTCACATTCTTTACTAAAATCTATTAAATTGTTGAATCGATTGTTTGATACGTAGCCGAAACCGATCCACAAAGACTACTTTCTTCTTCCGAAGAGATAACCAACAATTCACGTACAATGAAACTTAGTGTGTTAGCAATTAATAAACTTCAATACAGAAGTATTCTCAGAAAAGTAGTCGTTAATCCGGCGTTCTAGTATTCCGCGAGTTGGAATTTGGACATTGGGCTTAAGACTCCGGGCCGAAATACAATTTGTCATATTGTACAGATATTTGTAAATCCCGGATAATTCGAAGTCGTGTTATGCATAACAAGAGAAAATATTGGAATTGTGTCAAATTTAATTAGTACGATTAATAATATAAAAGTTATTTTTTAAAATAAAATTTCATAACAGCCGGGAAGTAATGCAACCTGTTGTAGGATCTTTTTAAAACTTTGTACTGTACAGTACAGTACAATACATTTTGTTTATTCTGTTTGCATTTGTTTTTAATTAACCGGCAAAAATATAAAGTAACCAGATTAAAAAATGTTCTTTCAAATTTATCGAAAAGAATTTAATTTATTCCATAATAAGTTGTTAAACCCTATAAAAATAAAGCTGTTAAACGTTAGTATTGTTACTTATTGACAAAAAAGTTACACAGCCAGATAGCTGTTATATACAGGTACTGAGTTTTACAGTAAAGCGGATAATTCTATGTGTTTGTTCGTAAATGCTTACCAATCGGTTGGTCGGTTGGTACGTTGCCATTGTACGTAAATCTAAACGCCAAAACACTGGATGTATGACGTCACAAGGTTCTGCTCTAAATCTGGTAAAATTTTAGTGTCTATTTCACAATTTAATCGTTATACATCGTGTGTTCTGGCCCTGATATAACAATGGGCACGTACCAACCAACCGATTGGTAAGCATTTACGAACATGTCGTAAATTTACCAGAAACTAACAACATTTTACATTTCGTATTCACAAAACACATCATAGCATTTACGAAAAAACAAAAATAATTGATAACAAGGGTAAGATTACGACATCACCGTTTTAGTGTAGACAATAGGAAGGCGTTTCTTAGCGAGGTATTCTCAGAATTTTCCCACGTCACGTGTTCGGAATATCCGAGGAAAGTAAATTTTATTTCGTTAGCAATTACTTTCAGGTAATTTATTTATAGCCTACATGTAATAGACAATACCTAAAACGTGCTTCTACCAAAAACTATAACCGAAGTAGACGTGGAATCTGTTAAATTATCGGCATTCGTAACATCTTAACACCTAAATAGGAGCTCGTTTCCCCATAAAATACTTCATGGGAAGCATCCCCCTTTCTCATTATTTGTATTTGAGTTTTTTACTCGACATAAAATAAATGGATTTTCAGTATGTATCATTACTTAACTCGTAACTAGCGTGTTATAGCTTTACGAGACCCAGGCAAATTTGAATTAGGGGGCCCCATATACAGTACAGTGTTGACTTCAGACTTTTTTCGGAGAAACGTTTTGGGGAATTATTTTCCTATAAAAGGTTGGTTTGGGGGTTCCCTATTGGAACGGGGAGCCCCAAATCAATGCGTTACACTATGGGCTTCCAGGCCCATAGTGTAACGTGCCATTGCTGAGTAACTTTCCTTCTTAACTGAGTAGTTATAAGAAGGCAAGCTGCGGGCAGTTTCGGAATTAAAAGTGATAAAAATGTCGGCACAATGGATAATTTATAGTAAAAAGTTTTACTATAAATTAATTATCCAAGGGATATAAACCTCTATACCCTGATGTGTTTTTTATAACTATTTCTGCTCTGTGTGCACTAAGAGGGCCCATAATAGGTTCGGCTAGGTCCACAATGGGACAGCAGGGTGGTGAGGTCCGACATATCCGGACAGATCATGCATTATGTAAGAAACTTCAAACTATGATTCAACGTTGGATCAGCGCTCCCACAAGGTAGCACTGGTAGCACTGGTAGCAATCGGGGCTAAGTTGGCCTTGAAAACAAGGAATATTCCTTGTTATCGCGGCCAAGTTTTGGATCAAAATGAGACGAAGTTGCCTGGGACAACGGGCAAATATCGTTCATTAGTTTCTTGTATATTTGCAGAATAGGCTAGAAGTCAGGAATTTTATGTTGCTCGATGATAATGGAATTTGGGAACCATTTGGGGATTAGGAAAAGGGCAGTACAAACGAAAAAGGAGAACACGTGCCCCAATGTACGATGATGTGTTCCCCTTCAATTTTAATTTTAGATATTAGAAATGATTAAAATGCAAAAAACTGTGATAAATTTGATCAAGGCCGAGAAAGCAAAATTTCCTAGTCATTAAGACAACTCATTATAGAAACTATTCCTGGAAGAAAAACTGATAGAAGACCACCAGGAAAAAGAAGAATCAGGCGGTTTGATAACGTGAAAAAAAAATTAATTACTACTACTACTTTAAAATTATTCAAGACCAGGTAAAAATAGATTTTTATGGCATGAAATACCGCAATAATTAATATTCTGAGTGTAGAAGACACGATTGTCTGTAATATTTACTTCAAAGTCTTACAAACTTAAGGAACTTATTAGCACCAAATATCAAGCTTTAATTTGTCGACGATACTCTAATGATCATTCAAATTCTTTTTATATATATGTACAGTACTCGATACGTTTTGAAATTATTAAAAACGACGAATTAAAAAAAAAACATTTTAAGTAAATTTTGATTTAAATAATTTAAGTTTTTTTTATATAATTTAACAGACAATCAGTCGTCATCGTCCCAATCAATCAAATTAAACTCTAAATCAGTCTCTCTTCCGTCGTATCCTCTTTCTTGTAACTCGGTTGAAGTATATAAGCACGTTTGGCATAATGGGCATAGATCCTGCACGTATAACCATTTCCAAAGACATACGCCGTGATAATAATGATTACAAGATGTTATTCTCGCTTTCTTCATATCCTGGTAGCAAATAGCGCACACATCATCATAATTTCTTAATTGATCTCTTGTGGCTTCCGCCAACATGGTGATCTTTTTCATGGCTGCTTTTCTTTTCATTATGATGTTCCAACCGGCTTTGGCTTGTAACCAAATGTTGAAGTATGCGTGAAAACATATCATACAAGCTCTGATCGTACCTCCCGATTCGAACAGCAGCATCCAACCTCCGTTAAAGAAGAGAAAAATACTGAATAAGAATTCTATAGCGTTTCCTGCGGCTCTAATATAATAAACGTAAGTATCTAATTCCTCCCAAAGATCGGAACGATACGTATCTATCAAAGAGAGTAAATAGAGCATTAATGTGATAATTGCTTTAACCACTACCTCCACGCTAAAAATTGTCACAGTCAGTAGCCACGTAGAAATTGAATAATGGCTCCACAAGTAGATGACAAACCATACTGGGAAGCATACAAGTAACGTACATACGCACAAGGCACGGATATGTTTTCCCACTGAAGCATTCTTAGTTGCACTTAAAGACAACAGCACGGGATTAACCGTGCTGTGCACAAAATGTAGAAAGGCTGTAAACAACAGGCAGACATTATAGTACAATTTAATTAATCTTTTTTCGGGTTGAAGCGTGGTTAATCCAGTTTGCAACGCGAGAATTAGAAAAAGTATGGCGGACACGATACCGACGTTGCGATCTTCAATGTCTTCCACCCGCAGCAACATTTGAATGACTTTACACAGACGGCAACAAAAATATGACACCACACTTGTCATACCCAGCACAGCTATGATCGTATCGCATCCATCGGTAATCAGCTGTTTCCAAAAATCGTATAATTCAATCCATTCTTCATTCTTGGAGTTATGCATGAAAATCAATATGTGCCCAACGAGTCGCGTGGTCCAGAAGATTCTCAACACTTTAGGTATATGTAATCGTAACCAGTGATATTCTATCAGATTATAAATTCCATAATGCCTGATAACCGTCCGCCATTTTAGGATGCATTCACATATTTTCTCGTACATGAATTTGCTGTTGTTTATGAACTCGAGTACAACGTAACAACTCAAAACGGCGGCACACAGGAAAGAAAAGCAGCATAACAATGTAGCAGGAACCGCTAAATAGTAGAGAAAACTCGGGCCAAGGAAAGATATTCCTATTAAAATCCACGAAATATTTTTATCCAATTTTCTGCGTATCATGCAAAACACGAACATCAAAACGCACTGCAATACGAAATTGCTCACGGAATACTGCACAAAATAATTATATTTAGTGTTCAACATGTTCAATCCTTCGATTTCGTACATATAGCTGATATTCCTGACGTATGACCACAATACAAGTCCAAATGTAATCATCCACAAATAGACTAGGAGAAGCAGTTCTGCGCTGAAGAGTGATACACAAAAGGCTATCAGGAATACTGAAAAATAAATAAGAAAATATTTAAAAAAATGTACGTAGCATAGATAAAAATATATACTTTTTTTACATACGCAATTATTTAATAATTCTTTCCTCGGTCAAGGGAATGAGAGAGAAAGAGAGACAGACAGAGAGAGAGAGAGAGCAATCACCCATGCAAGAAGTTCAAGTTCAAGGACAAGAATAACTATTTCCTGTTTTACTTCTCAAAGTTCAGTAATGTTTTTGAACTCGAATAAATTTAGTTCGTTGTCTTAAGTATTCTGAGGTCTTCATAGGATATTTTTCTTTATAACTTAATATTTTTCTGCTTGTCCGTCTGTCACGTTCTACATCTCAAGAAGTTATTTCATTAATTAAAGGACGACTCGAACCAATTTCTAACACGTGGGAGCTCGTATAGAATACACACATTTTTTTCTATATAAGCTCTCACGTGTTTGATACATACATACGTACCGTATTTAGAACGTGAAGTGTATCTTTTTGTTTCGATTTTTATCTATTTTTTTTAACTGATAAGATACAAATATTGTTATTTTATATTGTGAAATGTGAATTTTTACATTTCTCCCTAGTTTAAACCGCCGTTTAAAGGCTTTAAACGTAACATTTTCTGCTGTATTGTTCGCGTTTTGTGTATGTTATCGCGTATAGCATTATCAACTTTGTTATTTTGCATGGAAAAAAAGGGAGAAAATTTTAAAATATTGTTGAAATTAATACTAAATATCTTGCTTCTTAAGATTTTTAAACATTTTTAACGAATTAAAAAGGAAATTTTTGAAGAAAAAGAAGAGTTTTCCGGCGGCTGTGCGCTATGTCGATTCGTTATAATAAATACTGTAAATCGCTCAGAAATTGCATGCAATTAAAAAATATTATCCTACTTTGTCAACAATTTATCAACTCTATTTATCAGCTAGAATTTAAATTACATATATATTAAAAGCGATATTAATCGCTTTTAAATTTCCACTTTTGTGTTATTTACGAATTACAGTTTTCAGATGAATGGCGACCCAATTTCCGGTCGATAAATCGAGGTAAAAGAATATAAAATATTTTAAAATTTTGTCATGTAATTTATAAAACGAAACACCAACTTAATACTAGAAAATGTATGAATTTTAAATATCTAAATGATTTGAATTTAGCACTAAGGAACAAAAAAGAACTAAGAGTTAAATGGTAAAATAGTGAGGTGTGTGGATTAATGTGTGAAGAGTTCCACCTGAACTGGAAGTGTGGCTAGGAGGGAAGAGATTCGACACTAATGACGACCTTCAAAACAACGTTAAGACCCAGCTCGAGTCACTGACTGCAACATTCTATGAAGAGGGGGTTTGCAAAGATCGTCCACAGATATGACAAATGCCTCAATCTTCTCGGTGATTACGTCGAAAAGTAACCACGTTTGTACTTAACTTTTGGTAATAAATTCATTTTTTTATTTACACTTGCCTTCGTTTTATGGATTATCGAGATTGGAAAAAAACCCGTATATTTTAAAGTGAACTATCGGCCGTTTGCGTGCACGCACACACTATACACACCTATCAAAACCAGCTCTGGACGATTCTAGGAATAGATTAAGTCGTAAATCGGGGTTTCACTACGTATACTTTAGAAATTATCAGTTTTCTTGTAGAAGTAAATTTCGTTATGTAGTTTGCCATAAATCCTTTACAGTAGACGTCGATTATCCGAAAGTCAATCATCCGAAACATCAACTATCCGAAAGAATTCCAGTCGGCAAATTTAAATTTTCGCCAGTGCTGTGGGCTACTCAAATATTTTACGTTTTTGATACTAAATTAACTTCTGAAGTATAGAGGAGAAGGTGGTATTATGGAACACTGCGGGTATTATGGAACCACCTTATTTCGAACTGATAATAAAGGCAAACTGTAGCGGAATGTAGCTGAACTGAACTAGGCAGACATCCATAGCAAGGGGAAAACCCGTTTTACTTCAGTTAAACGGTTGTCCGTATTTAATCAGCAAATTTGTTTTTTTTCAAAATTCGCAAGTTTTGAATGCTAAGTGAATTTAATTATTTTTAAAATATAAATCGTGTAGTTGTAGGTTCAATGGTGCATGTATTCCGTTCCAGAGACTTAGGGGTACATATTAATCTGTGTGATGTTCACGTTTTTTAAATTTTGGTCTTGACAGACATAAGTTAATTCAAGATGGCGATGCGTGAAATACGGACCCCATTGGTGCTTTTACAGTAATATGGAACTCAACTCCTCCGAACTTTCTATTTGCAAGCAGACATTCCTCCAGAGCAATTTGTGAAAAAGACAATAGGTAGAAAGCCAATTCTGTCCGAGAATATCGAAAAAGAGCTGCTGGAATATATATCGTTGACGGAGGTCATATTTTTCTGTTATAAAAGCATTTTTGCGATAAAATACATTGGAGTAAATAATTTTGTAATTATTTGACATTTTTTGTCCTTTCCTATTTGTTTTTGGCTACATTAAAGCATTTTTTTAAAAATATACAGTAAGGTTCCATATTACCACCCGATTTTCTCTAAGCCTACTTTCGGACTTTTTGTACAAAAGCCTTCAAAAACCATACTTATAATTACACTAGCGAAAAATCCAATTAGGAACATTTAGTTTACTAGTTATCGGTACTTTTCGCACAAAAACTGTGGGTGTAGTTATGATACCTTGTTTACAATTCACTAAAATGTAATTGGGGTTCCATAATACCACCTTCTCCTCTAATTTTATATTTTTTTAATATTTTTCAATATATTTATTTTGTTTGTACAAAATAAAAAAATAATTTTTAACGATACAATAGTCTTCGTTAGGCTTAACATCGACGAAAATTCAACGCGAAGCGACACGCAACGGAGAAAAATTTTAACATCGGATACGTTAAACTATTTTTTCGTACACAATCGGTTATCCGAAATAGATTTTTTCCGAACAACTCCAGTCCCCAATTGATTCGGATAATCGACGCTCTACTGTAATTGTAAAAGAAAAATCAAAGAAAGTTTATAACCTATTTGGCTCACCAGTTTTTTTAGGACTTCTTAATTTCTAAACTACACTATACCTTATACTATTTCATTCTTTTACTTTGCAGAATGTATACGTTTTAATTACATTTCGGACTGTTGTCTTCATCAGTTGGCTCTGATATTAAATCCACTTTCACATTAATACATTGACTTCAATCAATTAATAATAATAATAATAATTACATTTGACAACGAAGTATCGTTGCCAAAGTGTAATTATAGGATGTGTCAATGTAAAAGTGTATTTAATATCAAGGCCAACTGATGGAGGACAATAGTTCGAAATGTAGTTATGCTAAAAGGTTTACATTCTGGCAAACAGAAGAATGAAATACATGTAGTCAGGAGCGCCCGTACATTGGATGGGGTACGTGCCACCCTTTTTGTCTCGGTTGCGTCTTTTCCTAATCCCCGAGGGGACACTAAACAGTAAGTTCTATTCTATTCTTCAAATATAAAAGAAGCTAATGGACGATATTTGTCTATCGAACCGAGCAACTTCGTCGTTGTTTTCAAGGCCGAGTACAACCAGGCCATCTTGCAGGTCATCCCCCTTCTCATAGTCCGCGGGCACCGCCGATTGTAGTATAAGGAATTATGTATTTTAGAAGTCTAGTCTTGAAGAATAGTGAACCAGAATTTGCACATTTTATTCAGATTTAAAGGAAAAAAATCCTAGAAAAGGCTCCGTGAAAAGAATAATAACGAGTGTTTTAACCTGTAAAATCTAGCTATTTTTTATTTTGAGTCTTGAAAATCCTTTAAGGGCATTATGCTTTCCACATTGAACGAAACAAGACATGAATATAAATGGCGTAATGAAGACGATGTATCGTACATTCTATGGAATAATATGCTATAGAATTCTATAGTAAATAGCTATAATGTAAATGTTTAATCACCGAGAAAGAGACCATTCTTTGCGAAGGGGCAATTATAAAGATAAACGAGGCGAGGATTGTGATCACTGATCCCAGAAGCTATACGATAAAAATCACTCCAAGAACTACGGAACCATTTTATACGGAATCATTTATATATTTACAAATAATATATGCATCCAGTCTCAAAATTCAATTATTCTTCCACCAATTGTTCCGCTATATTTAACAAATATTAAACTTATTAACCAAACTCTCGACATAAATCTATTGGTTTGGTTGGAATAATATACACTATATACTATACTGCATTATTTATTGCTGTGTTTTTACGTTCAAGTCGAAGAACAGGTTAGAAATTATATTTTAGTTAGCGCGAAAGTAAACAAAAACTCAAGATTCGTACAGATAATAGCGGCCTTACATTTAAACCCCGCTGTTTTGACACACTAAGAACTCGAAAATCCGGATAACTCGACATTTTGATTGGTCTAATGTATTATTCTATTAGACAAGACATCATTAAATCGATATAATTAATAGACAACACATTAATTCGACCTACGTCCGACATATTTTAAAAGAAAAAGCAAGTTTTTCTGAGAATCTGCACTCGGTGCTTGTGAACTTAATACAGTTACTTTCTCCTTTGTCTTTTTTTTTTCCACCACACAAAAGCTGCAGTATATTAATCCTTTCAAAGGAGCTGTTTAGTTACAGTTCTGCCTGCAAGTACTTACAGTTCATTGCGTACAATAGCTGACTGTGTATAGCATGTACTTGAAGATGGCCTTAAGCAGTCTGGTATTAAGAATAATGGCATTCCACATACAACGGTAATGACATTTGTAAATAATGAGGAAAAAATTATACAGAACCTATGAGAAAACGCACGAGGATCTTCGTCTTGAAGAAACAGAAGAAAGCTTCAACGATTGAAGAAAATTTACCTTTTACTTTTCCGGCTGTTATATATATATAAGAGGAGGAAAGTATGGCGACCCGGCAAAAAGTAACCCCCCCCAGATTTTTACATTTTTGGAACTAGGACACTATGAAACGTCGAGAAATGCTAAAAAATTCGGGGATCTTTATCTGTATGTATGGATGTTAGTGTGTGTGGGGAGGGCACGTTTTGTTCACCCTGTTTGAAGATTAATAACTCCTGTGCTTTTTGTCGAATATTTCTGAAATTTTGCAGGGAGTTTTGTTTATTAAGGGGATTAATGCTAATAAAGTTTGGTGGTTAAAGGTCGAGGAGTGGAGAGATATAGAAATTCGTTTTGATAAGTTGCATTTGTCAATAAAATTTCCGCAGATGAATCAAATTTTCCTTTTATGTATTACAGTACAGTAATTTAGTGTATAAAAACGATCACCTTTATGGAAATTTTCATTGATTGCACCATTATTTTATAGGATACAAAGTCGAATAACACAAGAAACAGTACGGTCAACCTCCAAAATTCCCCAAAACCTCGCCGATTCCACGTTTAGCTTTTCCCTTTGAGGTGTCGTTTTATGGAGTTTCCACATGAAAAATAATACATGCGATTCTATATGTCAGTATTTAAAAAAAAGTAACTTTAAACCATTCCTTTCACTTGAAAGAATGTCAGCAACTACATAATTTTTTTACTCAATATTTTATAAAGGTAAATTTATTATTATTATTATTATTAGTTGTAATAATAAAAAAAAAAACACAGCTTATTCTTATTACCTGTAAGACGAAAAAGAATTTAGCTGTAATTTCAAGGTTATATATATAATTTTCCTTGGAAGAATATTAAAATGTTATCATATCATTCAAGGTAATCTCGTGCGTATATTATTCCAAAAAACAAGTGGTCCTTTACGATATTTAGTAACACACACGAACCCCGAAGGTTTCTTTAAACAATTTCAATTATTTTATTTTATATAAGACTGAATAATCTCCTTAAAACAAAGTAAATTGGACGATTTCAACAGTACAAGTAATGTTCGCATTAAGTGTGACGTTATCGGTTATATTATATAAAACAATAACGTACAAAATAATTTCCAATAGAATTATATAATAATTATTATTATACATTTTAAACCTTACAAATTATGCAACTATCATACAGTAATTGCGGGTAATAAATATACGTGTAGCTGTATATAATATAATAATTTAAGCCGATAAAATTAATTTAAATTGAGTATAAAATCTATAGAAATTCGCAATAAACCTTCAGATTTAATACACGTTTAAAATGTATAGCTGAATACACAACTATTGTATAAGTGTAATTACGCGTGCAACTATATAAATACTACTTTAAAGGCAGTGTCCTACAGCTATATATATATAAAAAGGTATATACATAAATAGTCTTGTATATGAATACACACAATATAAACATCTTTCCTTTCTTTTTGCTAATTTAAGTGTTTCTATTTTTAAGTCTCATTGAATAATTAGATATATGTATATAAAAAATTGATTAACTTTTATAGTGACACAAAAAACTGCTATATATATACATTAATAGTAAGTTTACAGTCTAATATTAATTGACATATATGAAAACGTGAAGGTAAATTGACCTATTTTGATATTTTCCGGGTGGAAAACAATAAGAAGTACTCGAGAAATGAGTTACGTAAACATTAGAACATCGTATAACGTTATTTTATCTTAATTAATCCCTATATAATTTTATATTAGGTTAGAAATTATATTTTAGTTAGCGCGAAAGTAAACAAAAACTCAAGATTCGTACAGATAATAGCGGCCTTACATTTAAACCCCGCTGTTTTGACACACTAAGAACTCGAAAATCCGGATAACTCGACATTTTGATTGGTCTAATGTATTATTCTATTAGACAAGACATCATTAAATCGATATAATTAATAGACAACACATTAATTCGACCTACGTCCGACATATTTTAAAAGAAAAAGCAAGTTTTTCTGAGAATCTGCACTCGGTGCTTGTGAACTTAATACAGTTACTTTCTCCTTTGTCTTTTTTTTTTTCACCCACANACAAGTGTTATATTTTTAAACAATAGAACGTCGGAAAGGATGTTGACTTTTTACAAACCAGTTTAAATTATTATAAATTAAATATATAAAACATCATTTTTAAAACTATAACAATTTAAATTTAGATTTTTAAAATAAAATTAAAAAAAAACAAATGAATACATATTCATAAATCGTCCTAGTTTATGTGTATTTATCATCACTACTTTGATGACAAACGAACCACTTAAATGCAATAGAAGAAAAAAAAGAAAAAATTACAATAAAATTCCTCAAAAATTACTTGAAATTAAATTTCTTCCTATTATTCTCTTTTGTTTTTAACTTTTTATATGATAGAGAGAACAATAGATTATTATTATTATTACTTTTAAAATTTCATTCAAGATACAATGCATTTAGTTGAATTTCACGTCTACAAATGAATGTATATAATTTTTATTAAGTATGAATAACGTCACAAAAAACTGGAATAAATGCAAGTAATTGTTTTTAATATATTCGTGTTACTTTATTGAATTTTAATATTGAATTATCAAGTGTTTGCACGTATGTCTTATTAGTGGAGTGATCTGTAGAATCTGGACTGCGTTCAAATTTATTGTATAATTATCGTTTATTACATTCCTCTATGTAAAAGTTCTAATTGGAGACTTAGGATTTGAACTATAAAATAATACAAAAAGTCTTAGAATTTCTATTATTCGTTTTCTATAACCTTCTATTTCTAGAGAAGATTGTTTTCTATTCGTACAAAGCATAGAAAACAATAACCTTCCCTATAGGTTAAGCATAAAAAGTAACCCCCAAATATATAAGAATACAAAACAACACCCAAAATATGGACTATTTTCATACACAGGATACACCCGTCAAAGTCAATAACCTTTGAAAGCCTTAACCTTAAAGATGTGCAAAAACTAATATATATTTAAGTACGTTTGTATGTCTATCAGTAAGTCCACACGTACTCGAATCACCTCTCTCTCTCTCTCTTCACTCACATAAACAGAAAAAAAGTATAAAAATATAATAAATAGAACCTTACCTTTTGCATATAAAATATACCACAAGAAGGACAGAGTATCCTTCTCGTGGTAATTTTCGTAACTCGTCACATGTTGGCAATTTCTATTAAGCACAGCATCCATAATAAACAAAGGTGGGATCCTCAGTACGATTTCCATAGAGAACCAGATACGTGATTTAAGCTCCATGTTACTTTGCATGATCCTGTAACATTCAACGTTACGTCTTGCCTGAATTAATTTTCCTTGAGAATCGTAACCGATTTAACGCCATCTGTCGAATCCTTACTTCTCTTTTTCGTCTTTTGCTGCTGCACTAGTATCATTTACTAGTCAGGAAGTAATACCTGAAAAACCGGATTCCATGCCCCTGGCATATTATTATTATAATACGAGTAATACGACGTCTTGTGTTATTTAATACAGTGAAGACTGTGTGTAACTTTTATCAATCGAAAGTATGCTTTGTACTGTATATATACCAGCATTTTCACGAATTAATTGTAAAATTTATAAGTGCTCATCAATGGCCGAGTGGTTAAAACCATTGAACACCTGTAAGATTCTGGTGTTCAACGGTTTCCTTGACGTTGGTAACACCTAAATAGAAGTCAGTTTCCCGTAGAAAGTCTTCACGGGGGCCATCCCCTTTTGGCAGATCGCCCACTTTTACTTGTTTACTTTTTAGTCGTGTAAATACTTTTGCTTTCTACTTATAAGTTGAATTGATTAGAGAAGTAACCTGATAGAAGTCTATTTAATCGGGACCCCTATACAGAGGGACTTTAATTTCTTATTCAGAAGTTATAGGGAAACTCATTATCATTAAACAATACGAATTACATAACTGATACTCAGAAAGACATTAGGATTGACTTCATTATCAATTGTTATCATCTATACACGTGAATAGACGGATAGGAAAATGCACAACTAATTTATAATTCCTCTCCTTTACTGGTTAATTGCAGTATTAACAAGGAAACTTACAATTCAAGGCTCGATCTCGTGTTAATATATATACTGTTTTTTAATTTATAATACTAAATTAATGTTTATTACTTTTATTATGACATTAGGACAATGGTTGTTCCTTAAATTACATTCTTTAATTCAAAGAACAGCGATTGTACATTGCGTGATCATTTACTGAATTTTTTGTTTTAGTTTAAAGCGAAAAATAAACTTTTATTCTTACATAATTGTGATTAATTATTCTTGGAATTCTTTTCATTAGAAAATACCATATAAAAATTCTTGGTATTTATTTTATGTATTCGCTCATATATAAATATCTAACGAAGTATATCCCCGCTTTTACCATAATAATTTAAATTATTGTACCCGGAAAATAGTATTTAATTTTTCACAGATTTAATGATGTACGAACTGAAAATAAAGGTTCGAATCCGGGTGAAGAACTCCGGAATTTTTTACAATCGGCAATTTCCGGATATATCGGGCCTCTCCTCTCATTGCGGACCACGAAGAGCGTTAAAGAAAAACCAAGGGGGTCTATGAGGAATTCGGAGGGCCCCACACACTCTTAAGGGAATACAATAACATATACTAATATGCAAACTAACAATATACGATTTATTCTCGTCTTTTTTACGGGTGAAGTTAGTTTGAATGGTCTTCGACAGGAATATCAGCTTACTTGGGATTGAATAATGGGAATTACCCTGTCAAAAGTCCGAGGTTTGTGGGTTACTCGATACTAATTTATGCTGCATTTGTCCTTTTCCTTTAAGAAATAATTTGTTTTACGTTATAAGCTATGCTAACGAATTCACTTATAGAAATAATTCATAATGACCTTAAATTTACCAGGAAAATTTTTAGAAAACACACTTCCGTATAAGGTATGCTGAATTTATATTAATGTTAAACATTCGTACAAATGCGAAAGTATATATATAATTTATTTATATAATCATAAAGGAAAAATTTATATAATATTTTCTTTATTTAATTTAATAGAAAATAAAAATATTCTTGGAGAGGAAGAGTAAACAATATAATAAATTCCATACATTTTATTGCATTGTGTTCATCATTTCAAACCAATCCATGTAACACGAATTTCCTAGTTAGAAGCGTTATCTATCATAATGCTTCTTACTAGCAATTTCATTGTTTCTAACAAACACACATATATATATTTTCTACTTATATATTTTATATACAATTGTTATATTGCAGCCCTATATAAAAAAAGATTTATATCTCTCTTTGTATATTATAAATAGTAAGAATTTCATTTAAATGTTTAAATAAAAATGGCTGCTTGCTATATCTCACACTGTTCAGAAGACACGTACAAAATAACGAATTTTATGTTAAAAAAACGCATGTGATTACTTTGCCACGTGAGTACTAACAGGACCTTTTATTCGGGTCTATCGTAGATTTAGACAGACCGGGTACGGCCGGGTTGCGAGGACGGAACCACCCCCAAAAATTTCATATACGAACCGGAAGTCACGTGATTTCAATTCAAAACGTAGAAGACCGACACGACTCTGTTGTTAAAGAAGAAGTATGATGTACAGGGGCAAGCCACTACTAATTTGAGGTGGAGAGCATATATATTTTAAATTACTGTATATAAATTAAAAATAAATTTTAAATAAAATGATTGTAATCTTTTAATTTTTGGAAATATATATTAAACGAGCAATTATTTATTGTGACCCGGGCCCCAGCCTACCGCTCTGGGAGACCGTGTCGACAAATCCTAAAAAATTTTATGGGGTATTTATGGATGTGTTGTGTGTCCGTGTGTATTGGGGGCAGGATTTCTTCCACCCACTTTGCAGCTCAATAATTCCTGTGATTTTTGTCGAAATTTTCTGAAATTTCGCAGAAAAGGTTTGTGTATTAGGGGTATTAATGGCATTAAACGTAAGAAAATTGGAACTTTACACGCGAATTTATAAAAAAAATGGCCTCGGTCAGTAAATTGCGTGTAAATTGAGCACTAAAATGGCGTCTAATAGCCGAGGTTTTTTGCATTTGACTAATACGATTTCACCTTAAACATTATCTCATTTCTAATTATATAAGGCCTATAGATGCGTCGGGCCCCGCCCTTCGCCTCATTACTGGGCTTATCCGAACCAGCGATAAATACGGGATTAAAAGGCCTTCTTGGTACCCACAGAGCGAGGAATGTAAAAAAAAAAATGAATGAATTAAGTGGCTTATCGCAATCTGGATAACCTCTTAATGGAGGTTAAAGTTGCAAAAACTTACACAAGCATTATCGTAAAATCTGCATGCCATTTCACTTGTTATCGTCCTTGAATTAGATATTAATATATA